GTCATTGAAAGAATCAGAAAGGAAAAACAAGAAACCAATAATACCTTAGAGCAATGAGCTTGGGCCTAAGAGCTTATAGACGAACAGATTGCAGAACATCGGAGATTCTAGAGCGAGAAAGAAGAAATCAGAAACCCTAAGCCCAAAGGAAACCCTGGTATTTATAGGAGAGGCACCGATTCGGAAGCCAATGGGAAGGCAACGCGTGGTGAGGAGCGTACCCGGGTGCACGCGCTGCGCGTGAGATGAGAATGTAATGATGATCTCACCTCGGAAAATGTACCGTTTCTGCAGCAGCCGTCACCTCGATTCCTGAACCGCCATCAAATAAGACACGTCGCAGAGAGGAACATCCACCCTCGGGAAGGGGGCAGGCGTAAGTTCCGTGGCACGAACGTCCACCTTCCCTAAACGCGAAAAATACAAGTGCCACGCCATGAGCGTCTTACCCTCGGGAAGCATTATACTTCTTTATGTCCTGCGCCCGCTCAGAACATCAGAAGTGGGGGACTTGTGTTGGGTTAATGGCCCAAGCAGAGGGCCGGCCCATTTACACCTTCAGTTGGACGAACGTCCAGACATGTCATTGGGTGGATCAAGCTAACAGGCAAACATGGTACAGACGAACGTCGGATCCAAGGCCTAGGCTTACTGACCCATCCCGACGAGCGTCCATACATATGATAGTGGATCAGGCCCACAACCAGTATAGTGACAACGAACGTCTCAGGATCAAACCTCCAAACAATCACAGCAGCGACGAACGTTGCTTCCAGAAGACACTGGCATTTGGAGCCAGTCCAATCCATGTGACAAATCATCTAAGGGCAAGGATACGAACGGCCCATTACCCATTACAAGTAACGCCAGGAGCAGGCCCCCTTGTCCGGACTGGACGAACGTCTCCGCAGCTAGGCGGGAAACCGGGATTCTGGCGGGAAGCGCATTTAATGCTGAAGATTTGGTGGTTGGAGCACCAGCCACTCACAATCCTCCACGTCAGCGTAGTCAACTGCCCATTGGTAGTATAAATAGCAGCATTTATTTTATTGTAAAGGTTGGCAACTTACTATTCTTAGCATTCTAGCTTATAGCATTCTTACTCGCAGCTCTTCTACTGCCTTGTAAGACGAACGGCCGACGAGCCTTAGCGAAAAGTATTGTATTAGGGAGTTGTTCTTATTTAATTTTTAATAAAAGTACTTATTTAATTTTTTTTGTATTGTATTGGGGAGTTATTGACTGATTAATAATACCTAATATCTTGCTTGCTACTTACTGTTTCTTAATCCGTCTCACTTGTTAGTTGGGCTAGTTTCTCCATACACACTCCACTCGAAACTCTTGGGCTTACGTGTTGAACCCGAGGGTTGAAGGAATAAACCTCAACAGTGTGTATATATATATATATATATATATATATATATATATATATATATATATATATATATATATATATATATATATATATATATATATATATCTTTTAGAAATTAATGAAATATTTTGGGAGGTTTTGGTTTGGTCCCCCTCTCTTGTAATCATCCTTTATCCGAATAAAACATCGGCATATGTCCCCCGGCATATGCCCCACTGATTTTGGTGGTTTACCTTCCGGGGTAATATATATATATATATATATATATATATATATATATATATATATATATATAAGTATATATTAACTAAATGTAATATGTAAATATAAGTAAATAACAATAACTATAGATAATAACTAAATATCAAGTAAATATTAAGTAGATAACAAGTATATATTAATTGTGTTCAAAAATGTTCATGTGAACATCCAAAAATTTTAACTAATAGTGTAAAAATACACAAGCACACACACACACACACACACACTGTAACACTTGAGATTAAATTGAAATGGATTAATAGTACTACTCATACCAACAGAGGTGCATCTCCTTTTACGGGAGCTCATCCGCTAAGAACTCCAAAGTTAAGCGTGCTTGCACGGGAGTAGTCTTGGGATGGGTGACCCCCCGGGAGTAGTCTTGGGATGGGTGACCCCCCACGAGTGAGGACAAAGTGCGCGGAAAAGGCTAGTGGCGGTTTGTGGGGACAGTACTAGAGGTCCAAAGAGGTTTGGAGTAACTACCTCGGGTCCCACGGGGCCGGGGTGTTACAGGTGGTATCAGAGCAACCGTGCGACAGTGTGCTGATCTGTTGGATATCGGACAGACACGTAGCAAGGGAAAAGATTCTAAAGTTTGGTTGAGATTTGAGATTGGTTTATGGGCGCAACGAGGACGTTGCGATCCTAAGTGGGGGTGATTGTAACATTTGAGATTAAATTGAAATGAATTAATAATACTACTCATACCAACAAGATGCATCTCCTTTTAAGGGAGCTCATCCGCTAAGAACTCCAAAGTTAAGCGTGCTTGCACATGAGTAGTCTTGGGATGGGTGACCCCCTGGGAAGTAACTACCTCGGGTCCCACGGGGCCGGGGTGTTACACACACACACACACACACACACACACACACACATATATATATATATATAGTGTAAACTTCAATCGAGAAGGCATTCAAATGAATTCTTGAAGATAAATGTGCAGTTAAAATCACAGTTATCTTCAAAAATTCATTTGAATGCTTTCCCGATTGAATTGTTAGTTCAAATTTGATATGAGTAAACTAGACTTAATGAGTAAGATTCTCAAAAAAATTCATCAAAAAATTCCACCGGGAACCGCCCCAAATGGCGTCAGCCGGACATAGCATCCCAAATATGGCCTTATTTGACATTTTTTCCCAAGTTCGAGGCCCTATCTGGCCCTTATCCCATTCACTTTTTATAGCTAAATAGTTGTGAAAGAGAGGAGAGGATGGGCTAGATTTAGATGGGAGGAGTTGCTGCATTATATTTTCAGTTAGTGCAGTTTATAACTTCAGTTTATGAATTTAGATGGGAGAAATTGTTGTTAATAACTTCAGTTTATATCTAATCATCTCTCTTGAATCCAAAGCGCAGCTACTGCATTTAATTTTCATACAGAATACTGGAAAAGACTATAGAGAGTTCAATAATAATCCAACAATAATACTAAATATGTTATACTCAGTAAATTCCGTAGTCATCAATAACAAAATATAGAATGTTGTAAATTAATGTGTTATGATAAAATGTTTTCAATATCTTATGATTATATTTCGATTTATCATTTATGTGATTTATGCGATTGTGTTGGTTAACAGATAGATTTAAAAAATAAATACTCACATTTTTGTTGATCATATAATAGTCCCTTCATATTTAAAATTTGACTACAATAAATCTGGGCATATTACTAGGCCTGGACTCGGGCCGCCAGTTATGAAAAGGTGGGCCCGGGACCAGCCCGTCCTTCAGCCAGTGCCGGTTCGGGCCGCGTCATCCGTCCGGGTCTCGGGCCGGGCTACCCGTCGGCCGGGCCGGTGTTGGTTTAATTTTTCTTTTTTGAAAATTACATATTGTAAAATTAAGTAATTACTTTAATTAATTAACTAAAGTTATTTTTACTTAGAAAATAGGTGTATTTATACTAATTACATATTGTAAAGCTATTTTTAATTTAAAAACACCCTTTAGAAATTTAATTGTAAGTTGTAACCAATTAATTAATTTGAAAAGTGCTACATATAAAAAAATAAATGTATATTTATTTGAAATATGAACTTCAAGTTTACAAATTACAATTGAGAATTGAAGAAAAAATTAAAAACATGAAATACATTTTATAATAAATTTTAAAATACTAATCAATCGGAATCTCCGGCATAGGTAGAGCCACCATCCGTTGTTGATTCATCCATAAAGTGTTGGGAGGGGGTGATTCTCATTTCTTGAGCTCTACGGGCCGCCTTCAAGCAATCGTGGTATATAAGCGTCTCAAGAGATTCTGCGCTCAGGCTCGTTCTAGATTGCGTTAGGATGTTGCCGGCCGAACCAAATTCTTGTTCCACGGCAACTGTTGACACCGGCATTGATAGCACTTGCTTAGCCATCTTTGCTAAAACCGGGAACATTCTTTCTTTTCCCTTCCACCAGTTTAGAACGTCAAATTCATCATCTTCTTCAAAATCAACGTCATATGTTAAATACAAAGAAATCTCATTAATTGTGCTTTGTTGAGTAGCGAGAGTTGTTTTAGTTTTTTCATAAGATTGGCAAATGTAGATTTAAAAAATGATTTTCCTTTAGATGAAGATGTTTGTGTCGGGGGAGGGGGCGCGTTGCCATATTGTGCATGAAACTCATTAAATAAGGCATAAAATAATTCACTAACCTCGTTGTATTCTTTTTCCCGATCTATTGACCTTTCGTCATACATTGGAAAAGGACCAAAAAAAGCAAAATAACTCACGTAAGGGGCATTCTCAAATTCATTAAAAGCACTGGCAAGATTAACAGCTTCACGAATAAATTGGTTTGAGGTAGCTTTATAAACATGACTAAAAGTTTCAGTTGCATTAAAAAAATATACCAAAGCATTACAAATTTTTTCAGTTGTGTCGATATCAGCCGAGTTTATAATATAATTATCATATTCTTTTAAAAAAGCAGGAAAATGTTCTTTATATCTAAGAAGAATTCTAATTAACTTATAAGTACTATTCCAACGAATAGACAAATCTTTAGAAAAAGCCACATATTTCTCACCTCTTTCTATCAAATATTTTTGCCATTTTAATTTAAGTTGACCACTACCCCAAATACGTCTAATCCCCCCCCCCCCCCTTGACTACCTCCAAAGAATCGCTTAACGCTTTTAGACCGTATTGCTCACATAAATTTATAACATGACATGCACATCGTTGATGAAAAATCTACCCATCAAAGTAGTAGAATCACACAATTCACGCAATCTAGGTATAGCAGCAGTATCAAAACAAACATCAAACACTTTATCATTCAAATTATACTCAATTAAAACACGCTCAATCAAAATGTAAATATGTTCAGCGGTGTGACGATCATTAAATTCACGAAAAGCAAAACCACGTTTATGCATATTCCAATCATTATCAATATAATGTGCAGTCAGACCCAAATAATGTAAATTATGATAAGTATCCTCCCAAATGTCAGAACAAATAGTAACCTGGTCATCAAAGTTTGCAAAAAAAATTTGTAACTTTGCCTTTTCCGCATCATAAAGCCTTATAATTTCTTTTTAACCGTTTTGCGACTATAACCTATATATTGAGGGTTTAAACAAGTTTGTGCATAATCTTTCAAAGCAAGACTTTCAGAAAACAAATAAGGCAAATTTTCTTCAACAAGTAAGTTAGTCATACCAGTCAAATTTTGTGCATCATTGTATGAGAAATTACCAAAAGGTTGTTGGTTATTTGCAAAGCTCGATATTTGAGGTTGCTTCCCCGTTCCGCTGCCTAATTTTGCATACTCCACCTTGTGTTTGGCCTTAAGATGCCTTGCGGCGGATCCGTATCCGCCGGAAATCCTGAAGCTATAATTTTTCTTGCACCACTTGCAAGTTGCGTTCCGATTCCCGGTGTTCGGGTCCTTCCACTTATCAAAATTATTAAGCATTAGTTCGGATTTACTTTTTTGTCGCCTATTTTTAAATGATTTTGAAACTAGACAATTCCTTGAGGTGGGTGGTGGCAGAGCATTTCCATCCGGACTTGGAGTAAAGTGTCATCACTTACCAATGATGGAAGATCATTTAAAAGTTAGTGTAGACACCATTTTGGAGCAGTACTCGAGTGCTCCACTTCCTGTACCTGTTCCCGCTATAAATTTGTCTACGTTAGGCGATGCTCAAGGCACTTTTGTTCAATGGCCAACTTGCTGGGTGAAATTTACAAGTGAGGTAATAATAATATGCAGTATATATGTATATATACATATTTCTCTATGTGTATGTGTATATAATAAAATTCATTAAAAATTTTGTTGAAGTATTTGGTATGTTATTATGTGTAGGTGATGAGTAATAAATCATCAAAGGGAAAGAAGAAGTTGGACATCCATAAAAAACCAACCATACAAAGATCTTTAGTGTCTGAAAAGGTTCTACTGTCACTTACTAGAGATTGCAAATGGTTGCACTCGATGATAGCATCCCGATCTAGTGATGATCCCATTGCTATTACACTGGATGCTTCTATGTTCCATTATGAATCTGATGATAGTCATGCACTTCTTACTATCGAGGACATCAGTCAGTTTCTATCTGGAGCAATGATTAACATTTCCATTATTCAAATATTTGTGATGTAAGATCTTCAAAGTGTATGAGTTATTACTATATTATGTAATTTGTTATGAGAATTAAACTCAATGCTTTTGCAGAGCAATGCAGGATTATCTACAGGGTCTGGATACATTTGCACAACTTGGATGGATGTGTCCCGAATCAATTTCTTCAACAGCATGTGAAAGTAACCCTGAAGATGTGAAAGTTTACATACACCGAGCAATCACTGAATCCCAGAATGCAGACATAGATATTCTTGTTGCTCCTTATTATGAAAAGTATGCATTTCTATCTACTTTTATTAAGTTCATTACATAGATATAATATGGATGATATACAAATATGTTTTTCTAGCTATTATATAACGCAAATCGCTAATTACTCATGTAGTCATCACTGGGTATTGCTTGTGATTTGGATCTCACGTGGCATGATATTTGTGTATGATTCTCTTCGAACTAGCCCGATGCGTTGTTTATTAATCATGTCATTGTTCAGCAAGTAATTTTATAAAATGTTTCCTTTGCAAACATGATAATTGTTAATGCATTAGCTATGTTGTTCATCAAAACTATGTTCTAACTTTGAATGTTTCATAATAATAATAGTGTTTTTCGAAATACTTGTGCCCATGGAAGTGAAAAAGTGAACAAGATCATTTGGAAACAGATGAAGGTATAAGTATATATAACATTTCACTAAATATTTAACTATAGTTTCTAAGTCATTTAATTTAGTAGTGAGCAATATGAATATAAAGTATATTTTGTGTATAATTTTTCAGTGCGCAAAACAAACAGGCGGCTTAGAGTGTGGATATTATATGATGAGATTCATGTATGATCTGAGTAGAAGTATCAATGAAGGTCAAGATCTGGAGCAGGTATGTGTTCATGTGTGTGTGTGTATATTCATGAGAAATGTTTTTAGTTATAATGTGAAAGGGTTATTGTTATGAAATTATATTCCAAATCGTAGTTGTACTAATTAGAATTTCTTTATATTTTAGGTGTACACGAGCACCTTACGAGATGAGGCGTTTTCAATGGCAGAAATTCATGAAATTCGTGATAGATGGGCGATGTATGTTTGTGACAATTTGTTGTAAACTCTATATTAGATTGAAAATGTATTAACTATATAACTTTTGGCGAAATATGTTTGCGACAATTTGTTGTAAACTCTATATTAGATTGAAAATGTATTAACTATATAACTTTTAGGTAACTTTTTTTGTCTTGTGATATTTGGATTGATATTTGATATTTGGATTGATTGCAAATGTCCATTAAAAGCAAATAATGTGTAAATAAGGTGCACATTTTTCTTTTATGAATACTTATTGCTGCGGTTGTAGAGGACCGTCGCAAAAAAATTAAATTCGGTTATCTATTTGTTGCGGTTGCCGAGGAACCGCAGCAAAAAGTGTTTTTTTTAAGAAAACCGGCCCCTTATTTGCTGCGGGTACGACCGCCGCAAATAGCAATTTTCGGAATTTGCTGCTCCCGCTATTGCTGCGGGCAAAAACCGCAGCAAATGAGTCAAAACGACCGCAGCAAATGTCATTTTTTCTAGTAGTGTAAGTAGATAATAAATAGTAGTAATATAATATATGTATTTATAAGTAGATAATTAATATATAAGTAGATATAATAATTATATAAATAATATATATGTAGAAAGAATTGGAGAAGATGAAGATGATTGAATATGAGAGAATAGAGAATTAGAGAGTAGGAAGAGTTGTAGGAGAAGAGGTGTAAAAAATGTATAGAAAATAGGAGTATAAATAGGGTTTTTTTTTTGTATCCCCCCCCCAAACCCCCCGACCCCCCCCCCCCTCCTATGCCTCCAACGGCTATAGAGCCGTTTGGGAACAGCCCCAACGGCTAGTAGGGTTTAAAAATAAAAATAAAAAATGGCCGTTATGACCCGAGCCCGGACCGCTATATGACCGGGTCGGTTGGCCCGAACCGGCACCCAGATCGTTTCCCGGGCCGGGCCGGGCCGGGCCGGGTACAAACAGTACCGGGCCGGGCCGGTTCCGGGCCAGTTCCGGGCCGGTTGGCCTGATCCGAGTCCACTCATACCTACAACAATTTCTTTTGTACATGTCCAAATCCATCAATGTCGTATATACATCCCTTTTTGTTTGTGCACGGATAAGGCCGGCCCTGAGAAAATATGGGCTCTGTGCAAAAATAAAATGTAGGCCTTTTCCTAAAATAGGTAGAAATATAATATAAGTGAAGATTATATTTGTAAAAATTTTGCTAGAATAATAATAATAATTCATATATATCAAAATACAAGTTATTCACTAACATAATAGTTAAAATAAAACTATTCCCTAACAAATTAAAATACACTTCATTTATTTGTTAAATTGAATTATAAATTAATAGTTAAAATAAAACTATTCCCTAACATAAATATAATTGATAGACGTAATGAACATTTGATACATATTTAATAGTTTGTTAATTTAATAATGACATGCATTAAAAATAATAGTAGTTATTATTATATAACAAATTAATATCAATAATTGTAGTGGATGACACAATATGGCATGGACTTAGAATCTAATGAGTTTTTAATTATACTTCATATGATATAAAAGTGCGAGTTGAGAGGATGTTTGCATCAACCAAATGGTTGAGCCGGTTTAGCACTTCAGCGTCCTCATTGGTAAGAAACACACCAGGATTCGAATCCCCTAGTGTTAAAATTTTTAATTGAAGCATAGGATCTAAATGTTGGGCTCTATTAGTAATACCATTTATACGATGAATTGTTTGTCATAGATAACTTTTTATCTGTGTCATCGGCAATTCAGTTTACAAAAATGAAAAAAATTGTTTGTGTATAAAGACAAAAAAATGTACGTTGTGCAACATACTACGTACTACGTATTTCCTAACCATCATTAAACAAGTAGAAAATTCTGTCTAACTTGGGACATTTTTTCTGAAGAGATGGAAAATTCCGTCAATCAAATCAATGGAGCATCATATAATGTCTGTAACATAGGACTGTTTAGGTTTCAACCCTGCTATAGGTATCCCAATTTGTACCTCAACCAATTTTTGTGGCTCACAAAAGCCCATCTCAATAAATGAATTGCCCCATTTTAATGAGGTGCTTTTGTGAGCCACAAAAATAGGGTGGGGGTACAAATTGGGTACCAATTGGGGTACCTTTAGCATTTTTCTTTAGTTTTTGTCACTTGTAAAATATACTCCAATTTAATTTTTTCAATCAATGAACTAAACTGAGTCTGTGATTGAAAATGTGTTTATATAGAGAAGTACATAAAATATGAAAATGATATAAATATGTTCTTTGTTAATTTTTTTTTATCATAAAACTATAAGATTTATAAGATTTACAAAAATATAGTCCTTTCATTCTTTTGTTAGTTTTTTAATTGTAATACTTTCATTTTCACATTTCCCAAAACTCTAAAAATGGTTAACTAAAAAAGACGGAGGTAGTAGTTCTTTTGGGGTTGCTTTTACTGTCCAAGATTTTGTTTTGTATGTTTATTGCCTTATTGGTCAACCATTGTACTCTAGCTGTCTAGCATATCCTTAGCGTTTTGCTATGGGTTATCAAAGATTAACACAAGTTTCTACCAAAAAAAAAAGATTAACACAAGTTATTTCTTTGCCAAAATAGCGGCATAGGCATTTTAGACGGAGTGCATTAAAACGATGGCAATACAAGTCTAAAAATCTTACAACAGAATGAACTCCGACAATTTTTAGAGTTGTTCTACATAAACTCCAAGATTTGCACTACGACACTTTTTTAAAGCCTGCTCAATCTCGTTTAAATTTGGAAAAAATGACAAAAGATAAGAAGTTCTAAGATTAGAATGATTGGGGATATGTGGACTTCACTCGTCCCCACTAACAGCAAGGCTTTTGAGTTTCGAACCAAGTTCATCATCACTATCACCATTACTCTCCTCTCTAGATCCCTTGTCATCTTCATCATCATCATCTCCACCCTCCGGATCATTATCCTCAAATGTGTCAAGCTTTTCAGGAAACTTCTTGAATATATTTTTCACCTCATCAACACCTTCATCCGATATGAAATTCCCGTTGATATTCAACAGCTCGAACTCCTGCTTACCCACAACGGCCTGAGCCAACGCATGGGCTCCAGCCCTTCCCATCAAGTTACAGCTCATATCGACAGTCCTCAAACGTTCATGACCGATCTCAAGAGCCTTTGCGATCCGGATTGCCCCTTCATCCTTGAGTTCATTCTCAGCCAAGTTGAGCTTCTCCAGAAACTCCTTACCTTCTAGACACTTAGCCAACACAACTGCAGAATCAGCAGTTATATCATTTCCCGCTATTTCCAATACTCTAAGTGATGTCGCGGACTCCTTTAGTGCATTGGCTATCAAAGCAGCTCCCCTGTCCTCCAAATTGAGGTAACATAGGTAAACCTCAGATAGGTTTTCATGTTTGGAGAGTGCTTCACTCAATGCTTCAGCGGCGTGGGGCCCGAACATGTTGTCTCGCAAATCAAGCTTCTTGAGATGAGTACATGTTTCGAGTGCTTTAGACAAAGCACTACCACCTTCAGATGCCACCCTAGTTGAAGAGCACCGGAAATCCTCCAATGACGGAGAACGGCTCACCATCTCAGAAATAGCCATGGCTCCTTCATCACCCGTCATGTTATTGTGAAAATGAAGAACCCTAAGGTTATTTGTGGAAGGAACTAATTCACAAACTGCACGTGCGGCTTCCTTTGAAATACCATCATTCATCAAAAACAGTTCTTCCAGTGAGGTTTGGGATTTCAGGAGCTTGGAAAAAGCCCTGACACCCTTCTCCCCTAATGCATTGTCTGACAGATTGAGAGACTTTAAAACACAACCTTCTAAAGATTCTGAGAATATCTTCATGACTTCAAGAGCTTCTGCTTCTGGTCTACCTGCTACGAAATCTGACAGGTCAACTTCCTTGAGTTGGGCCTTGAGGGATTCCAAGATGGGTCCTGTGACGTGGGCCGCTCCTAATCCGAAGCTTCTGTTGCTGAGACATATCTTCGTGTAAGTGTTTCCTGGCTCTTTCAATGGCTTCAAAAGTTCCTCTGCTTCTTCGGCCTCTATAAACTCCCTTTTACCCTTTGAGATATCAAAAACAGTTTCACAGGAAGTAGGAGCAGTGTTAGACTGCAGGGTCTCTTTCTCATCACTCTTAGATTCCGTTTGAAAGTCAGAAAATACTGGGGAAAATGAATTAAAACACAGAAAAAAGTTAGAGCGAGAAAAATGCGGGGAAAAATAAAAGACATGCTTAAACTGACACTATGTTTGGTAGCCATAAATGGCTTGTTAAGAGAATAAGTTTCTTTGACTTGTTTGGCTGAAATGGATCTTACAAAATATCCTCATATTCAACAATTTCAACCAAATAAAATTTTACAAATGGGAACACAATGAATTCATCTTATATTTGTTGGTACTCCTTTTAATTGTTTAATGTCTATTATATAGGGTAAAAAATCAAATACAGCAACAACATCCAAGTCTTATTCCTAAAAGATTTAGGGTAAAAATCAAATGATATACTACGTATAAAAATCATATTTCATTATTCTTAACATTTTTCATCGAATACCAAACATAAAAAATAACTTGATGTGATCCAAAGCATACCTTTAGGGACGTTCTTCAGAGCTTCTATGATGAGCTTACTACACTCCTTAGCATAAAGCTGGACTGCCGAGCTCCCATCACCATCAGGCTCCTTGTCATAGTGACGGTCAGCCACAGAAAATGCAATGCCTTCAATCTGTTGGGCCTTTTCATGAGCGTCATCCTTGTTCAAACTACCATACTTGCGGGTAAAAATGGTCGGTGTAGACAGGTTGTTGGTCATCCGATCCACCAAGATTTTCCTAGTGGTTTCACTTGGGGGCCACAGTTTGATTGAAAATGGGCGGAGTTCAGGGGTAGGTTCTGTGGAATTCATTGCAACACCTAAGATGAAAGAGAATGTCAATAACAGCTTTTAGAGTAATCCTTCCAAATTATAGAGTACTTTTTTTGAAAAGTTGAAACTTGACAGTAATACTTTCCAAATAACATTTTTTAAAATATTTAACAATTAAAACATTACACTTTTATCCATCTCACCCATGTTTTGGTACACATGCTGACATGCATATACATCATTACAGTATTAGCAAAATCT